CTGAAGAAGATTGTGAAATTGACAATGAATGTGAAGCAACAATTTCACATACATATCCAATTAAGCAACACAATTTATGACGTAAAAAAAATGTTTAAAAGATATGTTTCATTTAAATATAAATAAATTCAAATTTTGTACTTTCGTCATTTTCGTCATTTTCGTCATACATTTTGACTTTCGTCACGCGTGACGAAAATACCTCCCATTTGATGAAATATTTTTACACTCCAAAATATTTTCGTCACCCAACCTTGGTGGAAAGATAGACAAAATGAATTGCCAATGCTTGCAATATTAGCAAACAAGTATTTGTGTTTAAGCACAACTTCAGTTCCATCTGAAAGATTGTTTTCTGATGTAGGAAACCACATAACACCTAAAAGATGTTACCGGAATTAGATTTTGACGCAGAACTTTTGGTCGAGACAATTTAAATTTTTATTTTTATTATTATATTATTTAATCTATTATTTATTTTTATTTTTATTTTATTTTTTATAATTTCTATTTTTACTTATCAATAACGTGTATAATTATTTATTATCATCTGATTTCATGTTACGTTTCGCGTATTATTATTATTATTATTAATCAATCCATAGCATAATGGACATTCGTTTATCACATTGTGACTTTGATTTCATTGGCTAAATTTTACAATGATCACCCTCCAAAAAATCACACAAAAATCAAATTTTATGGCTTGAAGATCTTTTACAAAAACAAAATTTATAATTTTTATATATATATCAAATATTAAAATTGTTTTAGGATGGTCAACATCCAATGTAGTTGATTGAATATGGATATAAAATGTATGCATAAAATCATAATAAATAGTTCCCTTTGCAATCCCAACCATTTTTCCTCTTTGCATTGGGTGTGCAATTAACCAAATATGAAGAAGAATGCACTTCAAAATTATAAATGCTACAATTATGAACATACGTGTTTTTTCCTACAAAAAAAATGTAGATTTCCCATCTAATATTAACACATTCACATCATTTTGAATGATATCAAATATTCATATTCCTATATATCCCTCCCACATATAAATTGAATTTTACATCATGATCAACCATTAATGTTATTAAATATGCAATGAAGTATACCTATTATTTATATTAGTTGTAATACACTTTATTATCTATCTAGTTTTGATTTTCGAGGATTCTCTGTCATCTTTGAAATAATAATAATAATAAAAAATAGAATTAAGATATTTTTCCTTATATTTTTTAATAATAGTTGTATATATATACAGTATAAATAAATATATTACTTCTTTACCTGCTTATTATGTCTATATATTAGTTTTTCTTTGAGGATTCTCTGTCATCCTTGAAATAATAAAAAAATAGTTATATATATATATATATATATATATATGGGGGGTTTTCTAGCAAAAGGTAGTACCAACCAATACTGATCAACTAATGTTGTTTCAAACTCAGACACTAAAGACAGCTCAAGCACATTATTATTATTGTGTATTACTATTATGTGCAGTTAACTTCAAAAGTCAAAAATTCGAAAAAGCATCAATTTAACACAACTAATATATATGTAAAGACAATTTGATTTTATGAAATGTAATAATAACAAATAGTTTTAATTTGTAAAAAAGAAAGCATTTTTGTTTTGAAGGAAAAAAACAAATAGATTAAAGTAAAATTTATCCCATTCTTTTTGCATTATTGCAATATACATCTTTATTCATTTCCGGGACACACTTTTGCATAACTTGGAACTTTTGATAAACCTCTTTTATCATTATCATTATTTCAAGTGTTTTTACTTACATCAAGTGATTTAATCATCAGGAAACTTTTCCCACCGTAATATTACATCTGTAAGTTTTAATATGAAATGTCGTAATTATACATGCAGCCCAAAGTATTTTGACACTGTCATAAAGGGGGTTACACATGTAGTAAAGGGGTGTTACACTTATGTTTTTAATAGTGAATGCCGTAATTAATTTCTACTTTCTACCATCAAAATTGGAATAATTTTGACCATCAAAATCACCAGACCAATTTGGGCTGCATGTATAGTTGTAATATTTCGCATAAAAAGGACATAATATTTACACTGAATGTAATAATTGCGTAATTTTTGCATAATATTACACTATTTACATAAGTTTATGGTGGGCCCCATAATATTATGTAAATTTGCATCAGAAAAAATTTCCTGATGATTATGTCAAATGATTTTACTTACTTTAAGGACTTTTACTTTAGTCAAATCATCAAAATAGCCCTGGCGAGAAACTACCTTTAGTCAATACTTTAGTTACATCAATGGCTAAAGTCAAAAGTTTCATCATACATCATTACTGGACAATAGGCACAATATCTTTTCATCATAATCTTTATTATTCGTTTTCAAATTTATGAAACCATGGTAAATATTTTCAATGAGATGGTAAAACATCAATCATACAGTAAAATAATGATCCAAAATCATCATTTAATTTATATGGTTTGCACTTAATCCAAGCCTCCAAATAATTATCTGACGTGAAAAATAATGTCATGCTAGCATCAGTAACCTGTGCACCGCCTAGCATAACTGTTTATATAGATGAAAATATTTTGCAGACAATCAAGTATATATTGTATTGAGCAGAACTAAATAAATCTTGAAATTTGAATTAAATGCTAATGAATAACAATAGTTAATAAAAATGAATTAAATGATCTGTAATAAAAAATCTGCTATTTAAGAATATGTTAATTTATTTAATAAATATTAAATTTTACATTTTTATTTCTTTAAATTGTTGATCTTGTTGATCATACCATAATTCAAATTTTTCATTATTATTACTACTACTATTGGGATTGTTTTTATCAATTTTATAAATCGAAATAGCAATTTGAAATTCTAAATCATTTGTTATTTTAACAAAATTATTAAAGTAATCTTTATACTTTAATTGTTTGATAGTACCTGTGGCAAAATTGTATGATTTTTCTATTAAATTTGTTAGATTGGAAAGTTTGTAGGATTTGGTGATGAGATAATTTTTGACCTCGTCAGTGTTGCTGTGATGTAACTTTATAATTAATTGTTCTTCCTAATTGTTTAGATGATATTATATAAAAGAAAGATTTGCTTAGTCAATCAATTGTATAATGAATTAAAATATGAATAAAAACCAACTTGCATTTTTTTCATTCTTAATTCTTTCCTTATTATTACTATTGTTATTATTATCATCATTGTTATCATTAATACTGCTACTATTATTACCATTACCATTACCATTACCATTACCATTACCATTATCATTATTAATCTCCTCAACTTCAAGATCATCAAACAACTTAATTAAATCAACTTCAACATTATTATTTGAAGTATTATTATTATTACTGCTGTTATTATTATTGCCATTTTTATTGTTTTTTGGAGTTAGGATTTTGAATTTTTGATAACAAAATTTGTCACTGTCACTATTATTATTATAATTATTAACTCCTTTTTTATTCTCATCATAATCATTCATATTTTTATCACTATTACTATTATTATATTTGTAGTCATTACCATACTTCTTATTTTTATTAAAATTACCATCATGCTTTTTTTTACTATAATTGTTACTATCTGAAATTTTACCCCAATCATCTTTCCAACTTGAGTAAGATTTATTTTTTCTAGCTTTTATCATATAATTTATGTGCAATCCTGCTATATCAATTTCTTGTTCTGATACATCTTTATGCATATATAAAGTAATTGATTTTGCACTTTCTTTATGCAATTTTAAAATGTTATATAAAATTTTAGGTTATATTGATTATATTGATTGACATATATATAAACTCATCATATTCATATATATATAAACTTACTCATATTTTCAGTAATTACTTTTTTCTTTCCAGCTGTGTACTCTGAATTCCAATGATAATTAATCTACACATTGATATAAATGATAATTAGTAATAATAATATATAGTGATATATGTATATATCTATCTTTATATTATTACTATTAATTATATTATTATTTACCAAACATTTGTCCTCATCATTTAAATATAGACAAATAACTCTATCACTAATTTTTTCAATTCCTTCTAAAGCTTCAAGAGGGATAAAAATTTGCCCATTATGCACCAAGTACAAAGTCAATTTATGTTCTAAATATTTATATCGAAATTTTGGTAATCCAACAGATTTATTGTTATTATAAGGTTTCTTTACATGATCTAGTTTGTTGGTTTCTTGAAATGAATCAATTTCTAGTAAAACCAAGTGTAATTGAATAATTGGTGATTTTGCCTTCCATGAACGTATATAACTTGCATATGGTTTATGAATTGGCATTTTTGTAATACTAGTGTTAGAATCATTATTATTGATTGTTGCTGTTGATGATGTTGTTCTTGATCCTGACCTTTCTCTTGATGATGATGATCTTGTTGTTGTTGTTGCTGTTGTTGTTGTTGTGGATGAAGATGAAGATGAAGATGACCTTTGATTGTAGAAAGTTTTTGTTGCTGTTGTTGTTGTTGCTGTTGTTGTTGTTGTTGTTGTTGGTGGTGGTGGTGGTGGTGGTGAAAATGATGAATAAGATTGTTGATGATTTGAATGGTAATAAAAATTTGGTAAATTATTATTATTGTTGTAATCCATAATATTACTGTCATGATAGTTAAGCTTAATATTAATTTTATTAATATCATCAATATTTAAATCATCATTATCATCATTATCATTATAATTATCTTTAATAATAATATCATTATTAATATTTGCTATAGCTGTTTCTACCTCGTCATTTTCTTTTTCTACTTCTTGTTGCTGTTGTTTTCGTTGTTGCCCATCATTATTACAAATACCAAATTTGTAAATATAATTTTCTTTCTTTGCCTGTTAAATTTTATTTTTCCAAATATTATTATTAAATAGACTATTATCGCTGCCATTATCATCATCATCAAAAAATACAAACCTCCATATTTTATATAATTTTTCCTTTTCCAACCCTTTGGAATTTCTAATTTATTGGAGATAATTTTTTACGCAATCACCACTCGTCACAAAATAATTTCGGTGGTACTATTATAATTATTACTATAAAGTTTGCTAATGCCACAAATGTATAACACATTGTCTTGGCCACCATAAGAGTGGAGAGCCAATATTTAAAAATGATAAAATTTTAATACCTTTTGCTAATTATGGAATATTTGGTTTTTTTATTATCCTCAATAATTGAACTCATAAAAAGGCCCATTAACGGACTCTCGAACTTTTTACAACGCCAGGATTAGAAGCTTCAAAAAGAAAATGTTGAAATTTTTGAATTCCCCCGTCCATCCAATCAAAATTATTTTGCACAATTAAAAAGATCTGCGTCGATATAAGATTTAGAGCAAGCGATACATTTTGGCACGAGAATTTTTGCAGATATAGTTGCTAAAAATCAATTCTTTCTTATATCAAGTGCCGACTGTACTTATGTAAATTACTTACTATTACACACTCTTATCATTATTTTAAATTTTATCATTTTTAAATTTAATTTATAAATAAAATAAAAAAAATATCAAATGCGCAAATTCGTGAATTCGTGATCTTTTAGAATATTATGATAGATTTATATCGAAAGACTTTGATCAGATACGACCTATAAGTCTTTGTTTAGTATATTATTTGATTATATTTGTTAAATTATAATAGTAATACCATTTTTATTCACCGATAATTTGAATTTAGTTGTTTGATATAACAGAAATGGATTTAATAGCAAATATAAATTTTCAGAATTGGAATCAAATTAATTAAATAATTTGATAATAGCGCGTATACAACCACAATAAAAGGAATACCGGAAAACCATCCATTATACATTCGATCCGGACCAGGATTAAGACCAATTGATTCATCATCATCAACCACTTCAGCCTATCAACATCAACAACAACGCTAATGACAAATCTTAGTAAAAGCATAATTGTTACTACCACCACTGCACCTAATTCTTCTATACGAGCATTAATTGATGATGCAAATGGAGGTGGAAGTTATGATTTTGATTACAATAATAATTGCGTTTATAATGATATTTGTGGCTATTCTTGTAATAATAATGTTGTATATATGTATGTTATTGATTAAAAAAGTCAAATTTATATATATTAATTATTACTATGGTGATGAATCTTCTTCCACCGCTTAATTATAGTCAATAAAATTTTTACAATAATAATCTAGATGACAAATCACCCCAGCATTATCTACACCTCCAACAGCTTCTACGATTATCAATCCGTTAAAAACATTTGTTACTGCTAAATTTCAATGATCATTGCATCATCCAACAAAACTAATATCTCAAGAATCCCAATAATAACAAAGTTCTAAATAATAATAATGGTAAAAGATAATATAAACGACATCCAATAATGCTCCGGTAAAACTATTACGTGATGTTTCTCATAAAGTTCGTGAGGTAAAAATATCTCTTTCGCTGATATGACTAAAATAGTTGGTAATTTATTATTCCAGTGGAAGAGGAAAAAATGATAGAGAATGAGGCTGCTAGCCAAAGCAAAGAAGAATATTTGTATGACTGTCTACAGAACAACTGATAAATGGAAATAATATTAAAAGTATCTTGGAGATTCTAAAGAAAATCATGGTCCAAATTGTAAATTATCGTCAGGCTTTTTTTTAAAATAATAATAACCTTGATCAATTTTTTAGATCGTGAATCAAATAAATAAATTCGAAGTTAATTCACTTTGATCGCAGGGTCAACTTCTCTTGGTTATGTGGGTGGTAGCAATAATGGTAATGGTGCTCACAATGGAAATAATGGAAATAATAATACTGGTGACCAAGAATAATAATAATACTGTTATTAATAATATTAATAAAATAAGACCAGTGTTGCTACTACTAATTTCCTTGAAAATTATAATAACAATCATAATAACAATTATATTCCATCTTACATTTTAATCCAACAATACCGAGAGAGATAAAAAAATACTGGATCTTCAACAGCAACATTAACTTTTTACTAATACTAATATTTCTTCTGATTCCAATGCTTTAACTTTTACCTACTCCAATCAAACACTAATAATAACAATACTTCTTTATCAGGCTTATTGATAAATTCTAAAGATTATGATCAAAAGCAAGCAATAACAACAACAACAATAATGATGATGATGATGATGACGATGATAATCAAATATTTGAAGATTTTACGATTCCTAATAATTTTGGAGAAAAAAAGTTAAGAACAAACATAGGGGTTTTTGAGCTTCTAATAATAATAATAATAATAATAATAACAATTAATTGAAAAAAAAAGAAATAATGTGAAAAGAAAATCAAATAAAGAACGAAAGACCGAACGAACCAAATAATCGCGTGTTCTATTCTAAAAGTTTAATTTTATTTTGTTTTATTATTATCATATATTAATAATTTTCCTAAACTAATTGCTGCCTCAACATCAACACCTTTCTAAAATATTAACAAAAAATTGCTCCTTTATAATAATAACTTTTTTTTTATTAACAGAATTTTAAAAAAAGCTCTCTGTGTCGTTATAGCTTAAGTCTACCATGTTTAGAAAAAAATTGCATGATCATATTATAACGCGACAAAAAAAAATAGTTGGAAAATAAAAATTTTTATTTTTAAACATGATATTAGATTTTGAATTCCTTGTAGTGCTGTCATTGTCTCATTCAATAATTAATGTGAGAGTGTCTTCTTCTGGTTCTTTATAATGTTCTTTTACAGCTTCAAAGAAATTTGTTACGTAGTGAAAACCAACGTATTTCAATTATTACTTTATTCAACAACGAATTGCAAGCTTGATTTATTAAATTCAAAGAATCACTTATTCTTAGATTGATCAAGAATTTAAAATAAACAAAACACATATCCACACAGTTGGAACAATCTTATATTCGAATAAATTTGATTTGACAATCGAATTATTTACACAAATACCTTGTCACTTAGTTTACCATCAATCAAAGTTCCAAATTTTCTATCGTCATTTTAATAAATTCCAAGGTTTGAAACTGATATAAAGATTATTTCCAATTTACTAATGAAATGTTTTCTAGTGATGAAATAGGATGAAATATTATTTTATATAAACTATACGATCACTTTAATCATACTGGGTGACGAAATCTTTATCTCAATGATAATGACCATGCCAAGAATTAGTTTCTGTACAAATGAACATTTTTTAATTAATAAAGAAAATATATGTTATAAATAAATTTTTTGTTTCTATATAGTGTATTATTTGTTATTGTAATTAAGGGAATATAAATAGATTAACTAGCTAGGTGACGATGACAGCGAAGAAGAAGATAATAGATCATTTATGTTACTTTTTATGATTTCTGAATAATTCTTATTTTCTATAATGTTTGCGATCTCTTTTGCCTTTTCGATTTTCCCATTTGAAACGTAAACTTTAATCATTTCCCCATAAGTACTTGGATCTTTTGAAAAATCACCCATACTGTTGAATATTTTTTCTGCCTTTTCCAATTGCCCTAACTCACCATAACTTTTAATAAATAGATTATCAATACTCGTGGATTTAATATTTTCTTTGGATATCTCATCATAATATTTTTCAGCTTCCTCAATTTTCTCATTGTTCACTAAAGCTTCTAATAATGCTTTGAAGACTTCACCGTTAGGGATAATATTATATGAAGATTTTAAAGAATGGAACACATCCAAGGCACTGTTTAAATCTTTTTGACAACATCCATATGCATAGATTAATGATGCATAATGCGTTGCTTGAGGCGTTATGCCTTTCTTTTTCATATCTTCCAAGATATCCAATGTTGACTTCATATCATATGGCTCAATTGTAGCATATAAATCTATTAATATTTTGTATGTGTGCGAATTAGGTTCTAGATTTCTTTGTTGGCTTTTATGATAGAAAACAAGTGCTTTTTTTCTATTAGGGACATCTGTGGTATAGTATTGCATCATGGCATTATATTGTGTAATACGTGTTTGAATATTTGAATTTTCCAGCTGTTGAAACAATTCAAGTGCCTTTTTTTCATGTTTTGCTTTAGTGTAGGCTGAAATCAAAGCTCCATATGTGACAACATTAGGTAAAAACTGGTTATTTTTCATATCGTCATAGACTTGCTGAACCAAGTCAATCCTAAGTGCTTTTCCAAATTTGCTTATCAAAACATTACAAAGATATATTGATGGCCTGACCTTAAAATTTTTTATTTCTGAATAAATCTGTAAAACTTTTGAGATGTCATATGGATCATCCTCTTTTTCAGCCACCAGAAGATCAGCATATGCACCTGCATCAGGGTGCCAACCTTTTTTGATGATTTCATCATGCACCTTATAAGCTTCGTCCGCCATGTTGTTACTGGCATAGGCAATCAACATACTATTATATACATAGTGTAATGCTTTTTCCCTGACTTGCTTGCTCCAATTAGTATAAAAGCCCAAGAAAAGTTTATATATTTCTTGAGCCTCCTCTAATTTATTTTGTTTTCCGAGATTTCTGATTGCTTGACTGACAAGTTCAGGTGTAGGTAATAGATTGTCATTAAGCATTTGTTTGATTCCTGCCAATATTAAACCAGGTTTAATATCATTACCTCTACAAATACTTGCCAATTCTGATGATTTATTTATTTCATCCATTGTTGGATTACGACCCTTCATTTGATTTAAATTCTCGACTTTATTTTTATCTGCTTCAAAAACAACAACATTGTCATCAACATTGACATTGACATTGACACCAACACCACCATCATCTCCACTATTAACTTCCTTCTTTTCATCACATATTTTTGTCATTGTGAGATATAATTCATTCCATTTTTTGATAGCTTCCTCATCACCAATTTCTTTCAGAGCATCAGCATATCTTTTAATTGTATGGTATGGGACTATAACACCAGTTGCAATAAAATCATCCATCAATGCCAGTAATCCATTAACATATTCATCATGTGTGTTGTTTACAGATTTTTTAAAACCAAAACTATCAAATAAACCAGATATTTGTTCGTTGGAAAGTGATTCTAATTGAGAAAAGTGTTTTGATTCGTTTTTTAATCCATTATATTTCCTAATCAAAATATCATTAATAACACGTGATATATCAAAAGAGCGATAATAAAATTTTAATTTGAAATCTATTGCTTCGCTTAACGAAACACTACTATGGATTATTAAATCATCTAATAAATCTTGAAATTGATAAAATCTTTCTATACTGCTCAAAGATTTTTCAAGATTCAACAAAATCCTTGCCACAATATCTAATGATTTTGAGATGCTTTCAACCTCTGAATAATGACTAATAAAAACTTTTGTAAGATAATTATCAAAAACTTGACCTGAATTTAATAATTCATCTAAAAGGCCATTTAAATTATCTATTCGATATTTAAATGTGGCATAGATGTAAACACTGAGTGTCATATGGTGGATTTTCATTTTTTTATCCATCATGATATTGAAAATATCAGTAGCTTTATCATAATCTCCAGAGGTTGAATAGTGCAATAAAAAAGTAGAATAAATCAGAGAGCATCTATGTTGTTGTGATAGTGACAGTGATGACAATGATGAAGATGACAATGATGAAGATGAAGATGGTGATGATGGTGATGATGGTGATGATGGCGATGACAATGATTGTAATAGATGATTATTGTATTTATTGAGATATTCATTGGCCAATTTAATTTCACCTCTTTCACATAAATACTTTATAAGATAATAATAAGTCAAGTCATTTGGCTCGAGGTTATTCTGAGGAATAAGTTCATCCATAACATTTGTTGCACCTTTTAAATCACCACAGTTTATGTAGGCATATATCAGTTGATTGTAGATGGCTAACGGGTTTCTAATTTCGGTATGATATGATGGTAACTGGTTCAGATATTCTTGATAACATTCCAATGCGCTTTGTATATCACCAATTGTACCATACAAACGAACCAAATATCCATATGTAAGTGGTGAAACGACCTTATTTTTTTCCATAATCTCAAAAATATTTAACGCTTCCATGACTTTACCACGAAAAGCAAATGAAAATAATAGCTTATCACATATATTACCATCATACAAAAATCCATTAATGTTAAAAGTGCCTTTAAGCATTTCTAATGCTAAATCTATATTTTTTTCTTCATCAATAAAATTATCCAAACCTTTCGATGCGTATCTGTCGTTTGGATTTAACTTTAATCTCATAGCCCAAAATATTTTCTGGTTATTGATTTCATGATCTCTTTTATAAAT